GAGTTTTTGTTTCTTCATTTATTTGTCTTGTTCCTTTGTTTTTTTCAGTTTTATATCCCACATATCAGTGAAATCATATGGTTCTCAATTTTTTCTGTCTGATTTATTTCGCTTAGCATAATAATCTCAAGATCTATCCATGTTGTCACAAATGGCACTATTTCATCTTTTCTTATGGCAGAATAGTATTCCATTGTGAATATATACCACATCTTCTTTATCCAATCATCTATTGAAGGACACTTTGGTTGTTTCCATGTCTTGGCCACTGTAAATAAAGCTGCAATGAACATCGGAGCACATATATCTTTACGGACAAATGTTTTCAGATTTTTTTGGGTAGATACCCAGGAGAGGGATTGCTGGGTCACATGGTAATTCTATTCTTAATTTTTTGAAGAACCACCACACTGCCTTCCATTGCAGCTGCACCAATCTGCATTCCCACTAGTCAATGCCTTTTCAACCTTAAATATCATTACTTTTCTAATAATTTCTATAGTAATTGGTTTATTTAAATTTTCCAGTTTTTCCTATGTCAATTTTGGTATTTTGCATTTTGAGAGAAATGTTTTTCTAGGGTTTCAAATTTACTGCCATGGAGTGACATTTAATAGTCTTACATTATTTAAAACACTCCTGTATCTATAATTATAACAATTCAAATCCAAAAGTTTAAAAAATATTAAACCAATCAGCCAACTATCTGTGGGCTGAGACGGATCCTTGGGCTTTTAAACTGCGACCCTGCCAAAGACCCCCAATTACTCCAATAATTTCTCCAGCTTTTGAGTTGTCATTGACTCCAGAAAATTCTGTTGTGATATATTACTGAAGAAGTAATCTCAGAAACAGTTTCACAGCTGCATTATACTTACCAACTACATAATTCAATCACTTTATTTTACAGATGGGGAAACTGGGACCAGGCTAGGCACATGACTTACCCACTAATAGTGGAAAAGTTAAGATTAGACGTGCAGGAAACAAATCAGGGACAAAAGATATGTCACCTTGTATCCTTAGCATAGCTCCTACAATTCAACAATGCAAGAAAAATGGACACTGAGTGTGAATGATGTATAAGGCACGGGGTGTTTATCTGGCACCCAAGGCATTTTATATTCAGACAACTTTTGTGATGTTCACGGTTTTTTTCCATGACCCCAAGAGGAAAGCAATGTTATTAAGAAACCAATGATGGGAACCTTTGTGTTGGTTTTTTGTTTTGTGCTCAATTCACACAAACAGTGTGAATGTAAAGTGATACAGCCTCTGTGGAGAACAGTATGGTGGTTCCTCAAAAAATTGAAAATAGACTTCCCACATGATGCAACAATTCCACTTCTGGGGATATAACCTCAAAATTGAAAGCAGTTATTTGCTGTAAGAGATATGTGCACACCCATGTTCATTGCGGCATTATTCACAATAGCTAAAACATGGAAGCAACCCGAGTGTCCATCAACAGAGGAATAGATAAGCAATATGGGGTCTACACAATGTAATATTATTCAGCTTTAAATAAGAAGGAAATTCTGATATGTGCTACAACACGGAAGCAAAAGGGAGAGAGCAATTTTACCCAGAGCCCATGGGCACGCACTCATCTACCACGATGCATTTGGAGTGACGCTCCTGCTGCTGCCACCATTAAATTCATCGTTTCTCCCACTGAGCAGAAAGCCAAAGCCTACCTGGTTCGTGCTATAAAACCTGCCATCAGAACTGCTGGAGCCCTTGGTTACCCTGGCCACCACTGCAGGGACCTCCCCAGGACCCTACCAGGGCGGAGTCCACAACCACCTACCACAGCTGCTGCAAATGTCGCAAACAGAAAAAAACCCAAAAGGCTTTTCCTTCCTTCTGCCTCCAAATAACCTCATACAAGTGATTTGCACTAACAGAACCTAACTGGCAAGGAACCAGTTGGCAAGGAAGTTTGGGAAATGTAGCTTCCAGGCTGCAGCCCCTGAGATACAGAGGAGAATAGGGAAAGGCCGGAATGAGGCTGAGTAGCCACAGATAATATCTGGGTATAGCTGCCAAGAGGAAGCCGCAAGGCAAGAACCCAGCACCTGAAAAGTCAAGTCTTGGAATTCAAACTCATCTGACCAAGTAACAATCAGCAGCCTTGAGCTATCACCAACACCACGTGGAGGGGCCCTTTCCTTTGGTCTTCCCATAAAAACTACCTAGGCCAGAGGAGATTCTCCTTTCCTGGCCTCAGGGGGACAACTGAAAGTTGCTGAGCACACCCTGAGGGAGAGCTTTGTGTACTGCAAGTCTTCTGTTCGTGCAGAAACAGCTTAGAAATCAGAGGGCCGTTCCATTCCCAGGTTAGGAGCTGTACTAGTCAGCTTGGGCTGCCATAATGAAGCACCACAGACTGGGCAGCTTAAACAACAAACATTGATTTCTCACAGTTCTGGAGCCTTGAAGTCCAAGATCAAGGTGCCGGCGGCTTTGTTTCTGAGGCTTCTCTTCCTGGCTTGCAGACAGACAGCCACCTGCGTGCTGTCCTCACGCTGGCCTATTCTCTGCAGGAAAATCCCTGGTGTCTCACCCTCTTCTTATAAGGCAGCAGTCCTACTGGATGAGGGCCCACCTTTATGACCTCATTTAGGCTAAATGACCTCTTTAAGGGCCTTATCTTCAAATATAGTCACATTAGGAGGTAGGGATACAAGGCATGAATTAAAGGAGTGGGGTGGGAGTGGGGCAACACAATTCAGTTACTAAAAGGAGCCAAGTGGATATTTGCAACTCTGAGAATAAACAGAGTGCTGGCTTTTAAGCCTGGGTCAGGAATATGTTGAGTCATCCCCTCATCCCCTTACCTTCATAATTGTGTGATCCAATTCCTTATAGTAAATCTCTTTGTGTGTGTGTGCATCTCTATCTATCTATATATCTATATCTATATCTATATAGGGTCGTTGGGAAAGTCATGACGTGTTTTTCTGTTTTTCAATGCAAAAATGAGTCATGACTTTCCCAACGACCCAATATATATACATATATTTATCTATTCTGAAGATACTAGAATACTTTTTTCTTTAATGTAAAAAATATAGTCTACAGAAAACATGGACATTTCAGAAAAGTTTAAAGAAGAAAACATATCAACTGTAATTGAACTCTGAACTATATACTGTATACCATTTTGGATTGGTTCCTTCTTCTGTATTTTTTTTAGCTGAACCATCCTGCCACCTGTTGGCTGCTCAGTGGCAGCTCAGCTTGGGAATCGAACCGCTGTTGCTCAGAAGCTCGCACTCTTGCGTGAGCTCTTAACCAACTGAGCCACTTGGCCAGCCCTCCTTCTTATGCAGTTTTAAAAATATATCATCAACCTATCCTTTTATAATATTTATTATTACACAATTGAAACCATTCTTATGTTTTATATTCCAGTTTTCTTATATTGTATGAGCACTTACATTAAAATTTTTCAAAATAATTTCAATGACTGCACAAAATTCTGATTCATACTATAATTTATACATTCTATCTCCTGTATTTTATTTATTTATTTATTTATTTATTTATTTATTTATTTATTTATTTTTACAGTTTTTATTGGGGAATTGGGGGAGGGGAACAGTGTTAGGGAATTGGGCAAGGAGAACAGCCAAGTTGTTCTTCAGTCTTAGTTGTGGAGGGTGCAGCTAGCTCAGCTCAAGTCCAATCGCCATCCGGCCTGCCATCGGCAGCTCACTGCAGCTCAGCTCAAGGTGCCATGGTCAATCTAAGTTACTGGTGGGCGTAGCCACCATCCCATGTGGGAGTCAAACCGGCAACCTTGTTAGGAGCACGTGCTTTCACCAGCTGAGCCATCCTGTCACCTGTTGGCAGCTCAGCAGCAGCTCAGCTTGGGCACAGCTCACTGGCCCATGTGGGAATCAAACCGGTGACCCTGTTGCTCAGGGTTCGCGCTGTTAGCCAACCGAGCCACTGGGCCAGCCCTCAATCTTCTGTTTTTAAACATCTGAGCTGTTGCCACCTTCTCATTGTTCTAAATAGCATTGTGATGAAATATTTTTTTAAAACACCTGATTATTTCCTTAAATTAGATTCCTAAATATGGAATTACTGGGTCAAAGTTTATGTACAGATTTATGGATTTGCTACACAACGCCTACTAGTGTTGTAGCCCTATGCTATCCAATATGGTAGCCACATAGCCACATGTGACTAGACACATTTAAATTTAAATGCAATTTTAAAATCAGTTCTTCTGTTGCACTGGCCACTAGCCTTAGTCCACAGCAGCCACATGGGGCTAGTGGCTCCCGTATTGGACATTGCAGATAGAGAACATTTATCATTTCAGAAAGTTCTAGAGGGCAGTGCTATTTTAGAGAAACCATACTTTCTGCACCTCTATAATCAGTCTTGCTACTCCTTTATCAGCATTGACTATTATCATTTTTAAGGCTTATACATTTGATAGGCAAAAAACAGAGTCTCAGTTTAATTCATAATTATTTCTATTTAGAGTTAACTGTTTTGCCCATTTTGTTAGCAGTTGTATTTCCTCTGGGAATTGTCTCATTTTGCTAGTCTTGATATTTTTCTCACAGATCCAGACATGCTTGGTAAGATACTCTATAGGAGCTATGCGTCATGTTTTCATCTCCACGGCCATGCCCCAGACCAGGGCACATGACACCTCTGCTGGAAAAATGTGCAAATATCCTTCCAAGTGATGGCCACAGTTGCCACACTCAGGTTTTCCGTAGCCTTTCTTCCTCTTTTTCTTTCCTTTGGTGTTCCGTGTATTTGTTTGGTTTCCCAGCTATTTTGCTATGCCTTAGTGAAGACATGGCTGGGGCTGTTTGTCTGTCTCAGTATGTACCCACGCTGTCCTCCTTCCCCAGGCCTGTCTGTCCTCCTGCCAGAATGACCCCACAGTGCCCCTGCCGAGCACCTGTTGAACACTACTTGATGAAATGTTCCACATTTGAGAAGGGCAGAAAGGAAAAAGGAAAAACAAAAAAAGCTCATTTTATTTTTAATGGAAATTTGGTTTCAGTAACAGAGCCTATTTAAGTTTATATTAAATATTTGCTCCCCAACAGCAAACTTGGTCCTGCAAAACTCTCTCTTGGTTATATAAATGATTTATTTCACAATTTCCCCTTCCTTGGTTGACAACTGTGAAATAGGGAACCAAATGCTATCAAAGATAACTATGAATAATGCATGAGGAGGACAAGCATCCATGCTGCAGTCCCTTCCCATGCTTTGCCTTGTTACTGAGCAACAGGAAAAGTGAATCCACAGCCATTGAGCAATGAGGGAGGTGCAAAGGGATATTTTATTTACCCACAATAAAAAAATTTAGGATCCTTGATTGGTGTCCAGCATATACTATGCTCCCCAATGTGCTTGGGGTGGGGACTTCGCAGACATCTTCAGAGCCCATTGCCTAAAAAGGCTGCCCAACTTTAGTTGAGAGCAAACTGCCTTCAGTAAGCAAAATAGATTGAAGGCTGGATAAAATCTCCCTTGCTTTCTTATCCCCACAGTGAGGCCAACATTGATCTTAGGAGCTAAAGTTGACCCAGAGACACATTTGTGAGCATTTTCCTTCCTCTTCAAGGACAACAAAAATGGACAGGCTAGAACTGTAATTAAGATGGGGGTTGTAGCCAATGGGCATATTTGGCATCTAGCGCCACCTTGTGGTGACACTTCCAAATCCCGGGCCCTTTCAAGGATACCAAAAATTTAAAATGACAGCCCTTTTGAAGGAGTTTGTTTTAGTGATAACCATGGGAGCAGTCATTTTCTTGAGGAATACAAACTGATAGACATAACTAGCACTTGACTGCACTTTGGAGTAAACAAAGCACTCTCACATGATCTCATTTAATCCTGGCAGCAGCCCTGTGCTGTAAGTAGTGGGATCTCGACTTTAGAGATGTAAAGACTGAGGCTCAGAGAATCTGGAGACTTGAATTGGGCAAGTCTTTGGCTTGAATTTAGATGTTCATATTCCAAATCCTATAATATATTAATATCATTGTATGTAGTATGTATATAGTACTATATTATGCACTATATTTAAAAAATTCAAAAGAAATACATAGCATAAGGTATATACTGTGTGGCATAATATATACCCAATACTATACATAGTATATATACCATACCATGGTACTATAGTACTTATGCTATTTTCTATAGTACTGCTAACCAGTACCCTCTGCCTTTCTGAGGTTGTGTTCTGTCTCTGAAGACAAGGTAATAATATTGGTAGACTCTTTGTAGTATGAGTCAACAAATGCTGTTAAGAGTTTTGCTGCTAAACCATGCCCTTGCTTTCCTGGGTCCCTGGACACCCAAATTGTGAGACTCTGCTCCTCTGCTGTCTTAATCTGGGGGGTGCAATAATGCAGGTATGCTTAGGTAGAATGAACACAAGGACGCTGAGACTGTGGGACTAAAGCCAATGCTCCGCCGATTTACCGGCTCATAGCTAAAACCGTGATGGACTGTGTCACCTCATTCATATTTAACTAGAAGTATATTTTATAACCAATATATTTTAAAGTGGGGTCACTGAGAGGTTACCTTGCTCAGTGTCAGAGGTGGGCATATCATTAGGCCAGCTTTAAATATTCCAAGTGAAAACTTTTGCAGGCTTTCCTTTATGGGGTAGGAATTTGGGGCCATAACTGCTTCTGTGGCTGAAGACAACTTCACATTGTATTTGGAGGAAACCGTTAGCCTCTTTCACAGATGTTCCCCCAGCCAACTGGCAAAGGTACAGGCCTCTTCTCTCCGACAGGACCAGGCTCCTTGTCAGCCTGCTCAGCTTTCTTGAGGGTGTCATTGCCGTCTATCGGGCATATGATCTGCCCTGGATCAGCGACCTCCGGTAGATCCACTTCTCAGTACGCCTGTCCCCACTTTACAAATGAGGAATCTGAGGTTCAAACAGGGTAAGTGATGACGTCACAATTCCAACTGACTTCTGATAACAAAAACCCACGCTTACCCTTCTACACCATACTGCTCCCCATTTTCTACTTCAAATATCCCATTTTCATATAGCTCAGCCACTAAAATCCAAATGACATTGGTCAGACCTAATAAAGAGGTGAAAGGACTTCTATGGGGGGCCATTTGTGAGCTTTGGGGCTAAAGCTGGGTGTGGGATTCATTAGGTGAGGGGCCTTAGAGGAAAGACCCCTGGATTGGAAGTGGGAAGCTCTTCCCTAACAGACTGCTCTGGGGCAGGGTTTGACTCACTCTCTAGGGCCCGTGAGCATCTATCCTATAGGTCCATCTTCTGTACAAGTTGATTTTAAAGAAAAATAAAAACACTGCAAAGGACAAACTAGGTACTCTTATCAGTTTTGCTCTCACCTAGTATAGCCATCTTCCAGCCTTCAAGAAGGGGATAGAATATATAATGCAACAGACCAGCAAGAATTAAGGGTTCCTCTTGCTTCCCCTGCTCCATGAGCCCCTCCTAAGTCAAGGAGAGATGGCAGTTAGAGCACCCAGCAAGCACGCTGTCTGAAACCAGTCTGTTCCTCTTCTCACCAGGAGCCAGGATTTATTCCAGTTGTACAGAATGGCTATTATCCAGCCACCGCCCCAATGGGAAGCCTCCTCTTCAGATGTGGCTGGGGCTGAAGGACCCTAGCTAGCTGCATGTACAATCCAGTCAGCGTGCTCAAGACAAAGGCTCTCATAAACAGCTTTCTGCGAAAAAGGAAACATGAACGCTTACAGGATCACCTTTTGTTAGCGGCGAAAAGAATTTGGATTTTATTTCATGAAGTCAGTCATTATGTATGGGAATGCTTGGGAAAAGGACAGATCAATTTAAGGATTTTCCCATATTCCACCAAACACCAGCTATGTGATTTTGGCCATGTCAGTCATTTACCTCCTATTTCCCAACAACACAGAGTTGGACAGTCCATCTGCTATATTCCTGAAGAAACTGCACTGGGCAGATGGGGGGATAGGTGGTGGCCTTCCCCTCTCTCCCTCAGGGCAGTGTGACCAGGGACTGGACCAGTTACAGAAGGTCTCAAGAATTAAGGCAGAAAGCCACAGTGGGTTCCTGAGATACAGCAAAAGTGGTATTTGTGGAACACTGATATTGAAGAGGCAAATAAATGAACTGAGGCAGAGAAACATGGACAAGTATGAGACACTGGGAGAAGAGAATAGTCCTTCAGGCTAAAAATACAGATGGATGTGTTATTTTAGTCTATTTGGCCTCATTTTTCTACAGGGTTGTCTGACACGCTGCCTGGAGACACACTTACACTCATACGAGTAATGACAAAGATCTCTTTAAGTGCTACAGGGTCCTTATTGCTTTCCTTCAGGGACTTTTACAGTCGAACAGCATGGCTAAATTACATTATACCATAAAGCTTTACTTTTCAAGCCTTGCAATTTTATTTGCTTTTGCATTTCTATAACACACACACTTCATATACTTGCTACTTTTTAATACAAAGATTATATATACTCATTTATAAAAATTTAAATACAAAAATATACAAAATAAAAAGAGTAACTTTAAATTTTCCTCTTCAAGGGGAGGCACAAACTGTCAACCTTGTGAAAGGTCAGGATTTGTGACCCAGGCTCAGTGTCACATGAATTGGGTTCTTTGGAGACTTTCGGAATTTGCTCTGAAGGAACACTCTCGGCACACACAGGCCTTCTTTTTTATTCACCGTCTCACGAAACACATACTCGTTCACCACTTCTTCATAACCTGTGTCTAAAAAGAGCTGAGCCAGGAATTCTGAAAGGCAAGCAGATCAACAACGCTCGGTGTAGATATCACTATACTGGCTTTGCAGTGGGGTAAGGAAGACTGGAGGGCTGAGACAGATTTTTTTTTTTAATGTAATGAAAAGTTCAATGCTAAAATTTAAAGATGTCATTTTGGGAAGTAACACACTCCTACTTCTCATCATTTTACAACCAGAGACCCCAACTAAAAATGTAATCAGAAAAGTTTAAGGACAACCTGAAAAATGTCCACTTTGCCCTATTATGAGTCCCCCAAACATGAGTAAAAAGAAACAAAATTCTAAACTGGCTATATTCATACAAAATCTGCATGTGTTCAATTTGTTTACATCAAGCAAATCATCTATCCGAACATGAAAAAGGAAAATCTGTGACGGGGTGGGGGGAGGGGGGAACTGGGACTCCAAATGGTGATATACCCTCAGGAAAGTTTAACCCAAATAATACATCACTACAAGTTAAGTGAAACGAATGGAATAAATGACTATGTAGCAAAAATAAGAGCATTATTCCAAAGACTGTGCCTGAAGCACTCTGCAGATGTTATTGCATCTTCTCAATTATTTACAATTGGTTTAATCAAATTTCATGAATCAAAAACATTAAAACAAAGTTTTCACCTGACATTTTTATTTTACAGTTGTATTGGTAATCAATCATTTTTATTTCATTTTAGAATTCAAAACAATATTTCATTTCAAGAAATACAAATGTCTGTAAAACACAGAGCTTAAGAAAGTCATTATTTTCTGGCCCAGGTTATTATATAGGCTTAAAACTAATATTCAAAATACCTAAAAGACTGAAATAATGTTTGGTATTTGAATGTTTTTATCAGAAATGACTTTTTAAGGAACCTGCCCCGCACCCATAGTAAATTCGTGCATTTTAAAACAGATTGAATCATTTTAATAGAAAAATGTTTCTTGCTTTTGTGACCTGGGGAAGTAAATCTCAAGACATTATACTGTCCTATTGGCTTTATTTTTGACTGAACAAAGTGAAGATTCTGAGTTACCCTCCCCCTTTCCAGCAGTTCCTGGTACGGCATTCATGTGGCATGTCAGGGCCTGTCCACTAACCCAGGCTAACTAGACAGTGTCACCAAAAGAGGCTTGTGAGCTCACCACGGCTAGGAGCTGTCTATATTGTCCCAGGTGCTGGGTAAGCGGCATGTGTTCCAGGATCTTAGGCATGTGTGCTGAGTATAGCCACCCCCAACCCCAACCAGTATTACAGTGATAAAGCAATCAAGTAAAGGAAATAAAGCAGATTCCATTACTCTTACCATCAGTGAAAAAATACGATCTGGTTCCATCTTGTCTAACATAAAAGTTTTCTCCAAGTTTGCTGCCGGCTTTAAACCTAAGCATGGCGTGATCATATAGGCCATAGTCGCGAAACAAGACACTTTTGCCTGGCTTTAATACCTACAAAGGAAAAGCAGGCTGCAGATAACTCTGGGGAACCCAGTCAAATAAAGCTTACTATAAAATAAAATCTGATTTAGGGATTAAAGTAACTTATACTTAAGATAATTAGGAAAGGGGGCCTGACTGAAACACCCCTAATATGAAGGGAAAAGGGCCTGTTAATTAAAAATATAGTCAGCCATTGGAGGGAAACTTCTTGAGCACTTACAAGAGCACGCTGGAAGGTCCAGTGTCATCCCATTAAAATGTTAACGACATTAAATGATACACTCTTATCCTCATTAAAGCATGTTCTCCTAGCATTTTATTAGCCATCTCCTAGTACATGACACTGCAGTCAAATGATGTCATTTTGGCTTTTTACTGATTCTGGCTAGCTTTCCTCATTCTGAGTCTCAGCTCTGATTTCCCTGTGCTACAATTACTCGTACGTATGCGTATAGCTGGCCCACCATGCTAACAACTGCATACAGCTTACCACGCATTATCTCATTGGACCTTCATCCAGTTCTGGGAAGAAGGAAGGAGTGATTATTCCACATGAGATGAGGAAACTGACAACAGAAGAGGTGTGTGATTTGCCTACGATCACACATCAGCTACTAAGTGGGGGAGTCAGGACTCACAGTTGGGTCAAAAGGCATCATACTGTAGAATCAGAAACACTTGTTTGCCCCAGGAGGTGGTGGTGGTGGTAGGGGGGCTGTAATTCCAATTCCACTCACACTACTGACAAGAAAAGAGGCTGTGAGGGGAGGAGTAACTTCGTGTGTTCTTCCCACAGTGCTGCACTTCTTGATGTGAAGAGGAGATCCCCAGGCCAGGGCAGCTGTATAGGGACGGGATTGGTGTCAGGCCCAGGTGGGAGTCCCTCACTAACGCCTTTCAGAGATATGTGTCACAGGGTAGATGTCTCAAAAATTGGACAGTAAGATCAGCAGGGTGTGGGTATAACTGCCCCTATTTTACAAAGCATAGAGGCATATGCTTTCCAGAATGAAAAGTAAGTGGCACACACTGTGACACTTGCTTTCTATGTGAAAATTCTTTCATGTGTTAACACTACCAAATAAGGGTAGACTTCAAAGGGGACACTAATTTATTAAATCTTATTCTGACTCATATCAATAAGATGGTTTTTAAGACATGTGACATACACTATCTATTATAATAGATTTTTAATGTAGTTTGATGTATTTCCTCTTCTGAACAGACTATGAAAGACTGTTCGTAATACTTCCAAGTGTGCTAGCAGATTTTATCATTTAATAAATTCTTATCAGTACTAGCATAAATTTTAAATACTATCAGTAAAGAGCCTCTTGGATAAAAATACCAATTTCTTACCTTGGTCAGAAATGCTAAGTTTAAAATCTGAATAATTGAGAAGGGAAAATTCTGAAAATATTAACTCATGAGAGAAAGACTTACTCTTCATTTCAGAAGGAAGAAAATGCTACATGCGGTAGTGGAAATAACACTCACTCAGGAATTTGGAAATCTTGATTCATATCCCAGTTCTTCCTTTAACTAGCTGAATGACCTTGAGCAAGTAATTTCATCCCTCTGTATGTTTTCTTGTCTGTAAAATAATTACGATACTAATGCCTCCTTTGATCATGGCACTGTATAGTTAACCAGGCATTTCTCAATGCTAGGTTCTTTCATTCTCCCAACAAACCCAAAAATTGGGTAGGTTAGGACTATTCTATCCACTTTATAATAAGTAAGGCTCAGTGATTTGCCTGAGGTTTCAAGGCAAGTCGGTGGCACAGGGAAGACCAATTCAGACCAAAATCTGATGACAAAATCTATTTTCACTTCATCATTTTATTCCAAAAACTCAACTTTGAGGTTGTCTTTCAGTTTAAAATGATGTTTTTTTTAAATTTCTCTGGTGTTAACATCCTAGAGCAATTAGATCTACTTTAACAACAGCTTTTGTAATTCTTTTAATATTTTCTAATTAGACAATTATATTATCTGCAAATAGTGAGTTCTGTTTCTTCCTCACCCTTAAGTCTTATCTTCTCACTTTGAGCTGGCTAGGACCTCCAGAATAATGTTGAAGTATTGGTAGTGGGCCCCCTCATCCCCATCAAGTTCCTGATATTCCTTATTTCGTCCTAAATCCTATTCCTCCCCGATACCTGAAATCTTTCATCAGTGAAATCACTGGTATCCACACGGCCTTCTGAATGTTCCCTTCATTCCTGTGCTCACAGAAACCTGACTGTCCCGAAGACACCGTTTTCCCTGTAAGCTCTCAAGTCAGGCTGTGTTGTCTCCCCTCGCCCTTGTACCGCTGGGCTTGAGGGGAGGCTGGTGTCCTTGCTCCTCATTGCTACTTTCTGTGCATTCTCTTTCCTCCTCCCTAACCGCCCCCAGCTCTGAATCTCATGTGAATAGATTATACCACCCATTATCCTTTGTTATTGTTGTCTATTAGGTCCACGGTCATTTCACTTCATTTCATGATAAATGTATCTTCTGATTTACTCTTATTCTCAATACTACTCCACTCTTAATTCTGGTCAATTTCAATATGCATGTGGATTATTCTTCCAAATATGCTGGCTTCTTGATGATTTGAGCTTCTCTTCCGAAGATTTTGTCCTCCACCCTACTCACTTCCATGGTAATGTCCTAAAGTCTTGTCAACGCTAAAAAGCATAACCCTCTCTGTCATACAGGTCATTCTCTGACCACCCCCACCATCTTTTCAGCTTTCCCTTTAGTTCCTCATCTGTAATAATCCTTCATCCTCATCTGAACCTTCAAATCAGGTGATCCTACCATCTCTTCTCTGATGTCCTCTCTTTCCTCTTTACCCAACTTAAGTTCCATGTCCATTTATGCTGGGTTCTCATCTGCTCAGATACCAGGGGCAGGGAAAGGAGAGGTTAAGGAGAAAAAAACCTTAAAAAATCTCATAAGCACAGGGCTACAACCAATGTGGTAACACCTGAATTTTTTTTTAAATATTGTTTTAAGTGAGAATAATTGTTCCCTAACAGGTTTCAGGTGTCTTAAAATTTCCACCTCACTACTTACTCTCTTAAAACAATTAAAATCAGGGTTAAATTTTAATGTATAGCTCCAAATACACTGATGCTCTCTTACCTAACATCTACTTTTTCAACTTGCTGAACGATTTCCTCTCCCTTTGTAGAGCAGACTGACTGAAGTCCACGACTCACTGAACCCGTGAGGCTTACAGGCTTTCTCGATCATGCATACTTGCACTCCGTGCCCCACAGGGGAACTCATGTGTTTCCCATTGGTCACTTGTATTAGCTCCCAAACGTGCTGTGCCAGTTGTAGATTTACAATTATATGCAAGTATATAAACAATGCAAAATAAATGTGAATAGAAAGCATTTTTATTTCCTATGAAAAAAGTACATTGAATACTTTGGAAAGATTATAAAGAATCACTGAATAAGCTGCTATTTAATTAAGTGTAGGAGAATCAACTGTGAAAGTCTGGGTAAAAATATAAAAGAATTTGCCCTCATATTACTTTCCAATTGCTTTAAAATTTTTGCTCTACTATTAAAGAAACCAAAACTCTATTGTATGTGTGGTTCATGTAAGAAAGATGATAAATGGCTCCAAACTCAAAAATTGAGGCCCAGGGAAGGGTTAGTTGGCTTGAGTCACATGACTTCCAAGTGAAGCTTTACTTTCAGAGTGCTCCAGCAGCCTCCTGGTGGCCACCCCAGTTTGGGTTCCCCCTATTCTAACAGCAATGATGGCAGTAACGACAATGGCTGACTTTTAAAGCACTTACCATGTTCTAGGCATTGTGCTAAGCACTTTATACGTATCTCATATAATCTCCCCCAAATCCTAAGATACAGGTGCTATTATCTCAATACTAAGGTAACGAAACTGATGCTCAGAAAGGCAAAGGAATTTGCCTAAATGGGGAAGCCGGGTTTTGACTCTAGGCACTCTGACTCCAGTCTGTGTGCTCTTCACCACTGAACCACGCGAACCACGCTTCCTCTCCCTTTATAACAGGACTCCACAGAGCCCAGGTAACTGCTTGCTCCAAGGCTGGCCAAGCTCTGAAGAACAGTGATGGTTACCAGACAAATCAGTTTAGGGTGGATGTTTTATGCTGGAGAACCTCTTTCTGTACACTGACTACACAGCCTACCTGGTGAGAATGGGGATTCTGTGACTCTAGACAGTACATGGGCCTCAGAGGGAAGGTAAACAAGAGGACTGGGATGTCCAATCCTCAAGTGCAGGCTCCAAATACTAACCTTGTAAATGTTTTGCAAGACAAGGTGCATCTTATCAGGGTGAACAGCAGAGAGCACAAATATCAACATGACAACATCCACAGACTCTGGGGGCACATGTTCCAGAAGGTCGTCTTTAGTTAGATCACACTGGAATACCTTGCATCTTTCTGTGTCATATAAAGGATTTTGCTAGAGAGGGAAAAAACACAAAAGAATTTTAATGCAACATCCATGTTGATACATTTAGAAAAATAGAGCCTCAAAAGGAGATTCTGTTTTCACTTGTGTCCTAATGCACAGAGATCAATGACCACTTTGTTACTGAGTAAAATTGAATAATGAGCCATTTGCACATTAAAGCACGTAATATTCAACATTGCTATGAAGAGCAAGATTTCATTTTAACAAATCATTTTTAACTGAGGAAAGAACATAGTCTATCATGAGCATTTTAGAAGCATATATTTCCAGAGGGATGAAAATCCCAAACTGGCCTCTGCTTCCTTAATCCTCCTTTGAATTATACACTACAAAACTAAATCCTATGAGAACTCCTTCCAGCTCCCCTTACTGGAATGCTCCCACAGTTCTTCTGGGTATATTTTTCCTGATGCAGCAGGCCAAATAAGCCTCACTTTCGTTTTTCTACAAATGTGTTCCTGGTACATTTTTCTTGGTGGGTTTCAACACATGTATAAGAAGAGTATTAGAAAGAAAAATATTCAACTTTTCTTTCATGTAAATAAGGACCTGAATCAACAGACATACAGTTATTGGGAAGATTCAATATTGAAAAGATGTCAATTCTACCTATCATTGCACTTATAAATTCAGTGCAATCTCACACAACTAGCTTTTCATTTGTATTAAAGGACAACTGGCTACCCAAATGAATGAAAGGATTTCAAGTTTCTGCTCAGAGATGTACACAGTTGGAAAGATGTAGCTCCCAACCGTAAAACAAGAAAAAGCTGGACAGACAGCAGAGTAATGACTTTTTTGTAAACCCATCAAAGAACAGAGGTCAAAGAACAACTATCCATTCCAAAATCTGGAGACAGGTGCCTCCATGGAAAGACAGGGCCCCAGCGTTTGCTTACCTGAGGGAGATACCTCAGAAAAAAACAGAACTAGAAATTTGACAAATTGCTGGAGACTGAGTATGTATGTTACACTGTGAAGCTCCTGGGGGCTGAAGTCATAGGGATGTTTCCACGCTTTTGCGGGGGTTTCTGTCAGAAACATCACCAGGGTCTCACAGAAAGGATAATGTTCTTTCTGGTGCTGGCCTTTCTTGTCTCCTTTAAGGAAAAAAAGGTTTAACCTGCAGGGGAAAGGTCATTTGAGGCCTGTAGCCTTAAGGCACTGGTGGAACACCACTGCCACGAGAACAGGGACTACTCTGCCCAGACCTAGTCTTAATCTGCAGGAAGAATGGCCTCAAGACCACAGAGGAGAACACTGGTGGATACCTCCTACAGCTGGGGGAGGGATGGGAGAGAAAAGCTCTATTCCTGGAGAGGCAGAAGTACGTGTGAAGTCACTGAGGCACAGGCCGACTATGCAGTTCAAAACCTGAGAATCAGAACATTAGAGAACAATCCCTTCTCCCATACTCTACCAACAAGTCTCCAGTGATAATAGTGGACTGCAGCTGGAAGAGCTGCAAGAGACAGACTCTTTATGGGGAAGAGCACAAGGGGAAGACCCAAGAGGAGAGACAAAAATAGTCACCAGAGGTGACTGAAGACTACAGTAGCCATAGCAACAACAAACCTCACAGCTAACTATAGCAACAACAGACCTCAAACACAGCCCGACTACTATCTAGATTACAAATCCTTATTACCTCAGTATCCACTGCTCTATACAACATATCTAGCTCTCAACAAAAAAGAACAAGGCATACCAAAATACAACAAAACACACACGCTGAAGGGAAAAAGCAACCATCACAACTAGACTCAAATATGACACACATATTGGAACTAGAAGTTTGGGCATTTAAAATATGGGTGTTTAAACTGTGATTAATGTGTTAAAGGCTCAACTTAAAAAGGTGGACTACATGCAAGATCAGATAAGTAATTTCACCACAGAGAGAGAGACTACAAAAAGAATAAACTGGAAATGCTAAATATCAAAAAATAGTAACAGAAATAAAGAATGCTTTTGATAGGGTCATTAATAGGAATGCCTATTGCCTATGAAGGAATCAATGAACTTGATGACAGAACAACAGAAATTATACATACTGAAAATGCAAAGAGAAAAAAGTTAAAAAAAAAAAAAAGGTAAAACAGCATGCAAGTGCAGTGGTACAATAGCAAACAGTATAACATGCTTGTAATCAGAATCCTACAAGGAGAAGAGAGAACAGAGCTGAAGAAATATGTGAAAAAATTATGACCAAATTTTCCCATATTAATTAAGAAACATAAAAAGTATAGGTGATTATATAACTCCTAAACAAGACATAAAACCTTAGCACCTCAAAAGAAACAGATTAATAAATTCAAATTTTATAATTTAAATCCCATCGTAGAACAATACCATAAAACAATGTTGAATAAACTATACTGAATCCCAGTGATTAGAACATTGACTGGCACACATTTGGCTCTCAATAAATATATGTGGAATACAGAAACTCACGAGCAGGAAAAGAACCAAACTAACGCTTATTTACATATTATGAAGACTTCAACTTCAATGATTACAAGGAATAAACAAATTAAAATATGGAGACATTTTATTTTGCCTATAAGATTGGGAGAAATAAAAAAAGAATGACATCAGGCCGGCCGAGTGGCGCGATGGTTAAGAACTGGCTTGG